AAGTAATACTTCTAAAACCAATATAAATAATAATGGAGACAAGGGGCATCCTTGTCTCATATCTTTTTGAATTTCACATGGTTTAGTAAAATCTCCATTAGCAACTGCTATTTTCCATGATTCCAGATTCCTTTTCTAATTGATCACTTCCAGCTCAAATCACATAAATATAATTGTGAAGTTTGGAATTTCTGTGCATTGCTTTCTCTTTGCTTACACCAAACCATATTTGCCATTTTGAGGTCCCCTTCACTTAGTTTGAAGAGATCATTTTGAAACTCTTCACAAACCTTTTTTGTTTTATTAGCAAACATTTACTGAACCAGCAGTCATTCGGAACATTGCTACTGGAAAAATGAAACAGTTTCCAATATACATTTCATGATATTCTGGAGGGTGTCTCAGCCTTCTGGATCACACACTGGGGATGATACAAAGAAGTTGCAGTTGATGCAGTAAAAAAAGATAATATTTCACTGTCTTTCCCCCACCCCGTTCCATCAGTGGATTCATCTCAAATGTTCAAAACTTTCTATACACAAAAATAGATCTATTTTGGATCTAAGCCAAAATATTTAGATTAGAAACTGATTTGGATTAAGGATGGTGGACAAATCTTGACTGCCATAATGAAATTTTGTCTTTCAACACTTCTAAAGAGAACATTGGACAGGCATCAAGGAAGATTCAGGCAATACAGACTTACTTCATGGTGGTGTGGCATCAGAGGGCTGTAGCATATTTAGTCAGAGATGGCAGGCCTTCGTCCATATTATTTATTAGATTTATATCCTGCCCTTTTTTCTGGAAGTCATGGTGGCTTACACAGAAATCTCCCCTCATTTTATCCCACAACAACCCTGTGGGCTTGTTGGGCTGAGAGTGATTAATCCAAAGTCACCCAGTGAGTTTCTGTGGCTGAGGTTAGACTTGAATTTGGGGTGCCCAGTGCTAGTTCTTAACCACTGTACTGGCTTCCCTACCTGCTATAGCTGTGTTGTGCTGCTGGGAAACACTGTACTGTACTAGATGGGAATGAAAATATCACTTGCCTTAGGTTTGTTTTTTAATTCGCTTGTCAAAATGGTTATTCCTGGATTAGATGTATTGGTTTTGCATATACATGGAGAGATAGAATATGCAAATTTTAGTTGTAATCTGAACATATAAGCTTGCTTAGGTAAAAGGTGGTAAAATCTGTGTGCTTATGAATACAGTACAATATATATTCTTATGTGCTTTTTTTTCTTAGGAAGCTGAACACATGAAAATAATAGAAAAACGTGCAATTTTGGATTCTAAAACACCAGAGAAAATGAAACATAGTCGATCTATTCTTGAAGAAGGGCAGTTACCATTAGAACAAAAGAAAAGAAAAATCCAGAGAAACCTGCGAACATTGGAACAAGCTGGGCTGGTTTCATCTGAAAACAAGTACCAAGAAATCATCAATGAAATAGCCAAGGTTGTAGCAATATTATTACATTTTTCCAACTGTTTTCTGCTCTTTCATCTTGAATATAGTAAGTTCATTTTGAAGAAAATAGCATGTTGTAAAGTGAAATACAGTGGTACCTTGGGACATGAACTTAATCCGTCCCGTGACTCTGGTTGCAACTCGA